GCCTATCAATTGGAAACTGGATAAAGAAGATGTGGGTTTTTTTATAAAATGGAGTACTACTCAGCCATAAAGAATGAGAGACTAGAGTCATTTATAGCTAAATGGATGCATATTGAGACCCTACTCTTAAGTGAAATAAATAGGACACGTGTGTAAATACCGAATAGTTTCTCTAGTGTGAGAAACTGAGAATGTAAATAAGGACTAAAAGGATTAATAAATAATAAATGATACTTTGAAATTGGAAAAGGTCCAAAGGGGCAGGGGTGGTGGGAGGGGAAGGGGAAAGGAAAAAATGGAAAGGAAAAATTGTGAGAAAAGAAAAAAAAAATGGAAACGAAGTATGTAAATAGGGAAAGGTTTAGGGGTGAAGGGTGCACAGGTAATGGGGAAAAAATAAGAACCAAGATACATCACGTACAGGTACAAGCACTCAAAGATAAATGTAAATGTATTGTATACCTAAAATGTACCAATAAAAGAATTTAAGAAAAAAAAAAGTATCTAATTGTTTCTGATTGCAACCCGGGCTGAGTATCACAGAGTTAATTAATTTGCACGAGACCTTAATTGTTGCGGGTTTTTTTTTTGGTACCGGAGATCGAACTCGGTTCCTTGCGCTTGTGAGGCAGGCGGTGGAACCACTGAGCTAAATCCCCAGCCCTTGTTGCTGTTTTTTAAAATAAATGTTAATAATAGAATGGTCTGTGGTTTTATTATATAAGAGTAGTGCAGCTTCAAAATATGGCTTTATTTATTTATGTATTTATTTTCGGTACCGGGGATTGAACTCAGGACCTTGTGCTTGTGAGGCAGGCATGGTGCCACTGAGCTAAATTCCCAGTCCTAAAATATGGCTTTATTGATGAAGAATTGATCAACGCACAATGATCTGAAGGATTACAAAGTACTTAGTGCAGTGCTCAGGTGTCATATGTTTAAACGAGGAATGGCACCATGTTGGCAGACAGTGAGCAACAAACAACTCTCCCGTACTCTGGTTCCACCAGTGAAAGCTGCTTGTTGCAAAGATAGGATTTAAAATAGGAAAGTATGGTAGTATATACTATCCTCTTAGAAGACGTTAGTATTTTGGGCGAGCTTTCCTTTTTTTGGTATATTGGTTTTACGTTCTCCAGAGTTATCCATTATGGTAGAGTGGCCATCAGTGTCACCACAGTTAAGCTTGACATTTACCTAATTGTTGTTAATTTGATTCTATTGTTAATTTGTTGTGCCTCCAGTTAGGCAGTGATTGGGCTTGGAACTTATTTGCCTGTTTGTCATTGTTTTTTGGCGTGAAATGTGGGAAGATTCTGAAATAACTGCAGACAAGCTGTATTGATGTGATGGTTGAGAGCACAGTTTCTTTCTTTTTAAAAAAGTTTTTATTTTTATTAGTACATATTTGTATTATGTAATGATTACCTTCTTTGTGGGGAATTGGTACATGTTCATAACACACCTCAATTCTTTTTTCTTCCCCTTTCCCTCCTTTCCCTCTTCCTTCCCTTCATCTCTTCATCCCTTTCCCATTTGAAAAAAGATCTGTCTCCCTATTTTCCTATTATCTTTTATTTTGTTCTTTATTTATCTTTGGGTTTCTTTTGGTACCAGGGATCAAACTTGGGACCTTGCACTTGTGAGGCAGGCTGCAGCACCACTGAGCTAAACCCTTGGTTCTTTGGGTTTCTCATAAAAGAGAAACCATGCAATTTTTTTTTTTTTGGTACCAGGGATTGAACTCAGGTCCTTGTGCTTGCAAGGCAGGCAGCGGAACAACTGAGCTAAATCCCCAGCCCTTCATGCAATGTTTAAACTTGTGTCTCTGGCATACTTCACTTATGATCTCAAGGTGCATCCATTTCCCTACAAATGATTCAAACTTATCCTTTTTATGGCAGAGTAGTACTCCATTGTGTATAAATACTACATTTTCTTTACTCATGCATCTGTCAATGGGCATGTAGGTCATTTCCAATATTTAGCTATTATGAGTTGTGCTGCTGTAACCATGGATATGCATGTATCAGTGTAATATGATGTCTTTAACTCTTTCAGGAAGATACCTAGAAGGGGAATAGCTGGATGAAATGGAAATTCTAGTTTTAGTTTTTTGAGGAATCTCCATAATGATTTTCATAGTGGTTGTACTAGTTTGCATTCCTGCCAACAGTGTAGAAATATTCCTTTTCCCCCAGCCCTTGTTATTATTTGATTTCTGTAGAATAGCTATTCTTTCTGGAGTGAGATGGAATCTTGGTGTTGTTTTAATTTGCATTTCTCTAATGGCTAGAGATATTGGACATTTTTTCATGTATTTATTGGCCATTTATACTTTTTCTGAGAAGTGTCTGTTCATTTCAGTTGCCCACTTTAAATCAGATCTTTACATTTGAGGATGTCTAATTTTTTTGAGTTCTTTGTACATTCTAAATATTAGTCCTCCATTCAAGGAATATTGGACGAATTTTTTTTTCTCATTCTGTAGATTGTCTTTTTACTGTGTTGGTACAATTTCTGAAGCCAGATTGTATTTTAATCTTGACTTTGTAAACTTGGGCAAGCTGTTTAATTTGCCTTAGTTTCCCCACACAGCAAAACTAGAATAACAGCTGTAAATACCTTGTAGGATTGTTGTAAAGATCAAGTACATGAGCACTTGGCATGTAAAAGAGCTATGGAAGTGCTGGCTGTTTGAAGGAGTGATGCTGGGTAAAATCTATGGTGCATAGGATTTTTTTTAGATCATACTTATGTATACTAAATGTATTTTGCTAGCTGTTTTTTATTTTCTGAGGATTTGGCCTCATAATTTAAGGAACAGCTTCTTTAGTTTGTGATGTCAGCCTCTGTATTTTTCTCACCTGCAGCTGCCTTAATGTTCGTGGCATGGATGAGTACTGTCAGCATGGGTGTGCTGATTGCCCGGTTCTTCAGACCTGTCTGGTCAAAAGCTTTCTTCTTTGGTGAAGCAGTTTGGTTTCAGGTAGGTGACGGAGAAAAACAAAAAGAAAACAAAACTTATTCCAGTTTTCAACATAAACTGTATGGGTTTTTTTTTCTTTACAGTTGTTGTAGGTTTTAGATCCTCCCCCTGACTTTTGTTTCCTAATTATCTGAGAGTAGACATAAGGTACCTGATAGAGGCAGGTTGGACTGGAGAATGTGTCGGGGCCATGTGTGTCCCTTTGTAGCACGGCCATTGGCACCCACATGCCCCTTCCTTACTGTTTGTGGGCAGATGTGTGAGCACAGCATTCGCCAGCACTCTTGAATGGAGAGCAGTCGAGGAGGCCTGGAGTGCAGAAGAAAGAGACAGTGGTGCTTCCTGCTGTCCGAGCAGGGTTCGGTCCTCTGGTTGATGGGCGTGGAGATGGTGCTGTTCCTGACTTGGCAGTCAGGATCATGTGTCTCCTGAGTCAGTGGGAAGAGAAAATAGAAGTGTTCCTTGTGTTGTCTCTTCCCATGGGCTTAGGAGACAGTTTTCTAATGGCAATGTAAGCAAGAATCATGAATAATAAAGCAAGACCACTTTACCTTTCATGGATCTTGGCCTATCAGTGTTTGCACATACAGTGGAAGACCAATGAGTATGTGTTGAGTTAGAATGGAAGGAAAAATACTCCTGATAGAACAGGTTAGACTTTTTTAGAGGATATTTTTCACTCTTCATATAAATTTGCTGTGTTTAAGGTTTCACTTATCTGACCTCATTTCTCATCGTTGGCTGGTGGTGCTGTTTTATTTGTTCTCTCTAATGCTGTATGCCTGGCTCCTGCTTGTTATGCTCTGTTTTTGTGGGTGTGATCTTTCTCACTTGTTCTGTCTCTCCTCCAGTCTGCTCCTGAGGATGTTCCTAACTGGGTGACTCAATGGGGTCTGATCAAAAAATACAATGAATGAAGGTTTGTATAAAAAGTTTATTATAGTAAAAGATACATTGCCATTAGTCTCCCTCAAAATATACCCCCTCACTTCAAGCACACTCATTCCATCATTCCTGCCACTTTCTGAAGCAGTTCTGGAAGTCTTCTTTCCTGAGTATCTTTAGTTATGTTGTTGTGGTTGTGGCAGTGTCATGAATCACTTCCAAACCTTTACCGTTCATAGTCATTTTGAATTTGTGGAAGAGCCAGAAGTCGCTTTGTGCCAGATCTGCTGAATAAGGTGAATGAAGAGACACTGTAATGCATTTACAAACCTGCTTTTTCATTAGATGGTACTAGGCAGCAACATTCACTGATTTTTTGATCACACCTTGTAAAGACACTCAAAGCAGGACTCTCAGAACTGAGGCAGAAAATGACAAGAGGGGTGAGATTAGTGTGTTTGAAGAGAGGGGTAGTATTTTGAGGAGATTAATGGCAATGTGTCTTTTACTGTAATATATTAGAAAAATAAACATCCATAATATTTTTTGATCATACCACATATGTTTCCTCAAAATTCAAATCCTCCACTGTCTTTAAAACCACTGTGTGTGTGTGTGTGTGTGTGTGTGTGTGTGTGTGTATAGTGACATATACATATAGGGTGACTATATATCTTACTTTGCCTGAATAGTTTTGGTTTGTACCAGTTTTCCAAGGCATAATCAAGTAACAGTGCCTATTTCATTCATAATACTCTCTTGATTTATAGAATGAGTTGTATTTTTCATATATTTTTCACTTATTTACTCGGTTACGTCCCAAGCTCCTCAAGAGATAGCATTTTCTGTTGTGTTACCATCTCTTTGCCCCTGTTGTAGCACAGAACTTGATGCTGGACCTCCATAAATATCTTTGGGAGGAAATGAAGGAGTTGGCAAGTCAGCATGCTTCATGTGAAACAGCCGTTCCTGCTGCTCTGTCGGGGAGAAGTCTTTGTAAATATTTTTGAGTGATGGGAATGGAAGCTTAGAGTGTTCTTTAAAGTTTAACATATATAAACCTTTTATTTTCACTGACAATAAAAGGTGATTTGATGTCAGTTGAATGCAGGCCTCAGAGACATGTATCCCATGTCTTTCCCTGTGTAACACTAACTCTTTCTCTTTCGTAGTTATTTGTCCTCTCACTTTTGTCATGTCACCTTGCAGCTGCATCGGATGCTCATGCTCACCACATCTGTGCTCACCTGCATTGCTTTTGTTATGCCCTTTATATACAGAGGAGGCTGGAGTTGGGTGAGTATGTCTCAAACAGGATGTTTCTAGTACAATCTATTTTGATGTCAAAGCAAATTCTATTTTGTGCTCAAATGATGGGTAAAGACATTTGTCTGTGTGTCCTTTCTATTTTGAGTTACGTGATGATAATTTCATAAGGTTGGGGGTCAGAGGTGGGGTGAAATCAAGTACATATTCTTGGGTAGTCCAGTGTTTTTTTAAAAAAAATTTGCATCAAATATACATAGTGTAGTTTTACTGAGTTTTTTCATTATAGAATAGCTAAAATTTAAAGTATGATATCAAAGGAACATAAATAATATAAGTGGTTTTCTGTAACTAGTACTATGATTACTACTAAGGTAACATAAATTGCATTCCTAGCATGTGATCAGCTGTTGCAACTGCTTTATATGAGCTATCAAATTTCCATCACAAATGAAACAGCTACTGATAATAATACTTGTCACAAATGAAGAAATGGAGGCTGTTCTTAGGGATTTATCTCTAATCAGATCTCTCCCTTGGCTCATAAATTTGTCATAAGCAGAGCTCAGGACTTCTGCTGGCATTTCTAGGGCCTCTCAAATTTAACATGTCCAAAATGGAGTTCCTCATCGTCTCTCTCAGTCCTGCTGTCCTGTAGCCGTTTCCATGTGAGCTGTCAGAGTTCTACCTTTAGCCCCAAACCTTGGCGTGATCCTTAAGTGGGCTCTCTTGCACACCCCATAGAAGACCCATCAGGAAATCCTATTGCTCTGTATTTAAGATCCATCCATCATACAACACCTCTCATGACCATCCATGATACTGTTCCGTGTGTTTGAGCCACCACCATCTTTGTACTTTGACAGTAGCCACCTTCCTGGTGTCTTCCCTTCGCCCTTGCTCAGGTACAGTCTCTTCCACAGAGAAGAATGGTTAGAAAGTACAAGATGAAAAAGTGGTATTTGAGAGAGTACAAATCAGACCATATAATTTCTGTGTCCCAAACTGCTTTCTCTAATTTTCCTGTTTTACTCAGAGTAAAAGCTGAAGTCATTTGAGTGACCTCCATGATTTGTCTCCCAGTTATTCTCTTCCTGCTTTGTTGCATTCATCTCATTGCACCCTGGCCTCCTTACCGGAGTACAGACAGGACCAGGCATGATTTATGAAGTCCTGTTTCTGTGGTCTTGGCAAAGATTCTTCGGAGACTTCTCTCCCTCAACTTCCCCAAGTCACTGCGCAAATAATAGCTTCTCAGAGGGCTCTAATTAGAGAACATCTTTACCTTGTATCATTTCACATATTTACTTATTAACATGCCTTTCCTTACTCTAGTGTGTATGCTCTGTGAGAGCTGGGGTATTCACTGGTCTATTGCTGGTGTATCCCAAGCACCTGCGAAAGGTTGTGGTACACAGCGGGTACTTACTTGGTTTACAGTTAGTGAATGAATGAGTGAATAGGTCCCTTGAGAATCAGTCATGTACCTCATCTCAGAGCCCATGCTTCCAGTATATTCAGTTTTATAGTCAGAAATTGATATTAAAGTTTAATATTCAGAGTTTGAACTGGGGCAGCAGGGGAGAAGTGTGAATCTTGGATCAGAAATATTATTAGGAAACCTCTCGTACTTTTAGGTAGTTTATGGATCAATCTATTTTTAAAAAGGCATTATGAAGATTTTCTGCTATGAATTGAGACATTATATCTTTATTTTATCTGTTATTTGGAAAAAATTATTCTGTGATTTTGTAGTTTTTGTATTTTATGACTAGGACAGTACAATCATCCCTCAGTACCCTGTAAGGAATTGGTACCAGGACTGCCTGGGGGTACCAAAATCCAGATGCTCAATTCCCATATAAAATGCATAGAACCTACATACATCCTCCCACATACTTCAAATCATGTTTGGATTACTTACAATGTAAATGCTATATAAATATTTATTCTACTGTGTTGTTTAGAGAGTAATGACAAAAAAAATGGTGTATGGATATTCAGTATAAATGCATTTTCCCCCAAATACTTTCAATTACTGATTGACTGCATGGATGCAGAACTCACAGATATGGAGGGCTGGCTATGTAGAAGTTAAATGCATTCTTCTATAGCCAGATCACTTGGGTTTAAATCCTGGCATCATCCCATATTATTTTAGATTCCTTTGGACAAGTTATTTAACTTCTCTGCCCCTCAACTTACCCATCTGTGAAATGGGGATAGTGTATATCTCTGTCACAGACTTTCTGTGAGGACTGGGAGTTAATGAATTGAAAGCACTTAGGGTAGTTCTCAGAACATTCTAAGTCTATACAAGAATTTGGTTGTTGCTTCTGTTTTTTTTTTAAATTAAGTAGAAACTTTTTATATCTCCCCAATCTTGGTTATAATTTTATCCATGTATAACTTGAGTCTGTGATTTGAAAGCTTTTTTTATATTGCTCATTTGTCAGTCTTTACTTTTTATTTACAAAGACTTCCTCCCATGGCTTGGACACCACTGTGTCCCTGCTCTAGGTCATAGATTTATAGTCTATGGGAGCAACGGACCATAGGATCACTCAGGGTACTAGGTATGTCACGGGGTAGAGACGCTTTTTGGTCCTTTCAGGTGTTTAAATGGAATCATTGTACAAGGTGGTCTGATTCAGCTCTCTGCTGTTTTGAGGAGCACCCAGCCTCACTAAGGCAGGAGTGTTGCAGAAATTGTTTCGATTCTGTGTTGATTCTTTTTTCTTGAGTTAAGTCTTCATGCAGCACAGAGGATATAAGCTTTAGCACAGTGGTCAGGAGTGAACCAGACTCTTTTTCAGTTCCGGAATTCCAGGGAGTCATACAGAACACAGAGATCTCAACAGATGATTATGCTGCACTGAGACGCTTGCCCTTGACATGTTGATGTGAACTAGACCCAGTGGGGCTGCAAATGGTGTCATGGTGTCATGGTCATTTAACACCCTGATGCGGGGGAGGCAGCATCCTACACGTGGACTCCACCACAGCCATTTATTTACACACTGTGTGGGCTTGGACACAGTACTTGATATCTCTGAGCCTTAGTTCCTCCATTTTAAAATTGGGATATTGATAACCAGGGGTCAAGCATTGTAGGAGCGTTAATGATAATGTATGGAAAGTATGTGCCTGGTACAAAGTGGAGATTCATTGAATGTTGCCTGTCACCATCATCACCATCACTGAATGTGTATAAAGCTGTGGGAAAACCCTAACAATACACTTGTGTATATTGTTTTTAATTTGAGGATTCAAGTTGATAAGAGATCTGAGAATATTAAAATGACATAACTTTGTCCAGCACGCAGGTTACCATCCATACCTCGGTTGTATAGTGATGACCTTGGCAGTTCTGCAGCCTCTTCTGGCAGCCTTCAGGCCACCTTTCCATGACCCAAGGTACTTACAGCTCTGATATACTTGCTCTCAGTGTGGATAGCATTAGTTGGCAAACAAATCCCTTTTCAAGTGGAAACAGTTATCGCTTATAAAGTTAAAAAAATAAAGTATGGTGAAAAATTGTATTTACTTTGAAAGGCTTTAAAGTGTATTTCAGATATCTAATTTCTAGGCAGTAAGGGAAATCACTTGCTTTTTATTTTCTTGTCATTTCATCAAGATTAAAAATACTGATTGATCTTTCATTTTGGTAGAAGGCAGATATTTAACTGGACTCACTGGAGTGTGGGAACAGCTGCTAGAATAATAGCAGGTAAGTAATTGTGATGCCACTTATAATTGCTGGTTCCTTGCATTGTAAGTTGTAATCTGGCTTAAATGATTTTTAGATGCATTAGTAATGGGAGTAGTTGGTTGTTGAGGAGAAATCAGCCTTAAAGATTGAAATCCAGAAAGTAATTTTTACAGGTAACAATTTAAATCATTGTTTCAGGCTTAAGTTTTTAAAAATGACTAAAATTATTTTTAAGACTTTTCTTTTTCAAGCATTTGTCTTTGCCAGCAGAATAAACTATGCCAATAACAGACATTTGAGCAGCTCTGATTGAGGGTCATTTTGTGAGCTGGGTTGGGGTTGGTGGTGGGGTCCACGCCCTCCATCCCAGGTCATTTCCATAGGGCTTGTACCTTCAGAAGAGGTGGTTTGCTAACGGCAGGTATGATTATTCAGTATCTTTTGATTCTTTGTATAATGAGCCCCAAGACAAGTGTCTGTAACCCTAGCATTTCTGTAGCCTGTGGGGCTCAGCAAGGAAGAGGGGGTACAACCAGCAATGGTTCCATACTTTTCTCCCTTCTTACATTGCAGACTTAAAACATTTTGGAAAGTTTGGGTGCCTCTTTTTCAATAACTGAGAGATCATATTTATAATTTCTTGTCTTGACCCATATAGTCCATATAGTATCACAATAAAAAAGACTAAATTAATTATTTGACCTCAAATACTAGTTTTATTTCATAAACTTTGAGTATGTTTTAGTTGATATACACATAATTATCTCTTTCAGTGGGGACTATATATTGAAAATATATATATATATATATACATATTTTTTTTTTTCTCTTTTTACACATAGTGGCAGCAATGTTCCTAGGAATGGATTTACCAGGATTGACTCTTCCTGATCCACAGAAAACCTATGCAATGATTGGATTTGTTATCTGGCACATTGGGACTGAGGTTGTTTTGGAGATACATGCTTACCGACTCTCTCGAAAAGGTGAGCTGCTTTAAAAACCATTTTTTGTGGAATCACTTTTATTCAAAGTACTGAAAATCAATTTTAGCTTCCTGGTATTAGTGGTTGACTATTGCGTGGTAGATCATTAATAATTTCTGGTGTGATTACTCAGCCAGTGATAGAAGTTATGGAAATTCTTTGCCTTTTTTTTTTTTTTTTAAAGTACATTATATTGGAATTTGAGAATAAAATATAAAGGAAAGAGTTTAGCTTTAGAGAAGTCGTTTTTTGTTTTTTTTTTTTGGTACTAGGGATTGAACTCAGGACCTTGTGCTTGCGAGGCAGGCACGGTGCCACTGAGCTAAATCCCCGGCCCAGAGAAGTCTTTTTTATAAGTACTTTCACTTTGCATGTTGCTCTGACCTGGAGCCAGCACACACTGGGAACTCCAGTGCCTGATACTGAGGGAACCTGAGATGGAGAAATAGGAGAGCTGAGTCAGTGTGGGGCAGAGGTGCAGCCAGGTTTGACAAACTTATGGTATGCTCTTCCTTAGAGTGCAGTGTCCATAAACATGTAGTTAGGTAGGACCCACTTTGCCAGGGTTGTCTAGTGGTTAGATCTGGTTTGGCCTTACTGCTAGGCAGTCAAGTTATCTATAGCCATAGGTGAAGAACTTAGTAGATTTTAGGCGCAATGTCTTCTGTGTCCCATCTCATTGTCAGCCCCTGACATTAGTGACCTTCTAAAAACAAAAACTCTTTATTGTTCATGTTGTGAATCTAGGAGCCCGGGCCTCTTAGGAGCCAATAGTAAATATCTGTCTGCCACTTTTGGTTCTTAGCAGGGTTATATACACGGGACTTCTAGTGACCACTGTATTATGGCTTACTGTTTAAAACACATGTGCACTTAAAACTTGAATTGTTATGTGTTAATTGGCTTGCTCTAGTCATTCCACAGTGTACACATATATGAGAACATCATGTGGTATACCATAAGTATATACAATTTTACTTGTTAATTAAGAAAGTAAAATTTTTCAAAAGCTTTGAGTGCTAAGATTTTGGCACGGTGTTTATTTCCTAGAAGAGAGCTTTTTACAAGTCCTTTAACAAATGTGTGCATGGTCAACTTGTCTCAGTTTGTGAAAGCCTTAAATATTCAGAAGGTTTGTGACATTTTGTAGTTTGAAATGGAGAGCTTACCCTCTGGAACTGGTGAACAATTGGAATCAGGTTTTATTTTATTTTTTGAAAGTTCACCTACCTAACACTGTCCTGACAAATTTATGTTGTTCTTGACAGTCGAAATATTGGATGATGATAGAATTCAGATCCTTCAGTCATTCACTGTATCTGAAGCAGAGGTAAGTCTTTGTTTTCTAACTTATTGACACAATCTTAATCTTGGTACTTTGTTTTATATCTCAATTTTTCTTTCAGGGCCATACTTTTAAAAAGACGGTGTTGGCAGTTTATGTTTGTGGGAATGTGACTTTTCTTATCATATTCTTATCTGCGATCAGCCACGTATGAACAAGTAAAGACTATTTTTGTGGTCCTGGTGATAATTATCATCAAATCAAATAAACTTGAAGCTTTTACTAATTGTCTGGAGTATGTTCATGAATTCCAGTTTGGAAGACCAAGTTTGTGTTTACAGAGGAATTCTGATGTCTAGTCTTTACAGATAAAATTCAGTGGGGTCATATAGACCATAAACTGATGTGAAACCCTGTGTATAATCCTGCATCTTAAAGGCAATGTTGTGCTTGAGGAGAAATAACGTCAAATATTCCATGCCAAGATTTTAAGAATGTTAGCATTTAAAAGAATAAACAGGAATGATCTGGACAAACAAAACAGATACTGTTCCAAGGCAATTGTATTAAGGTAAAATATTTTGGACTACAAAGCTGCTATGGTACTCTAAAGAAATGTTTATTTTTACTAATATATCTGAGTGGTCTTTGGATTTCTTTTAAAGAAACTATGTTTCTGGGACATTTTATTTGCTCTGTATATCAATACTTCTTTTGTTAAAGGTAGAGGTGGGATTGACCCCAATGTAGATTTCATTAACATTTATATATTATTAGTATTATAATTTCTTTGTTAGTAGTGAAATGCAAGTAGGTATTTTTTGCTTAAAGATCTTATTTATTTATTTAGCTACAGAGCCAAAATGGCATATATGTTAATTGTTTTGACTGTAAGATTTAATTCTTATAGCATTTTAGACATTGTATTTCAAAATTAATAAAACTCACCCTTGAGCTCATATGTAATAGATGTTCTCTTTCCTTGTTGACATAAAATCATATGAGTGATTTTGTTTTGTAAGAAGTTCCTAATGGTTTAATGAATCAGCAGAGTCAGTGTTATTTTCTTTATTTCAATAATTTTATCTTCTGTTTTTATGGCTGTTTCATTTGTTATGAGGACCTCTAGCCAGTGGATGGCACTGTAATACTGAATTTTTCCTTGCTTCCTGTTTTCCTGTGCTGTGATTCACTTTTAGTACTTAAAAATCAGGGGATGGCATTTTCATTACATTCTTCCAGCTTGTCTTAATCTGTATTTGAAATATTTCTGCATTTTTTTTTTTTTGGTTTGCAGTTATGGGTGTTGAAATTCGAATTAGGAACAAGTGTTATTATTTTTTAGTTTAATTTTTGTGTTTTTAAAAAAATAACAATTGTTTGCTAGTTCCCTTTACATTCCTTTACATATCCTGTAGCAAATGAACATAATTATCTTAGGCAAAATAGTACATCTTTAAAATAGAAAGTTTAGAGATCAGACTTTAATTCTTTAGCTCTTCTTTCTGATTATGTTATGTTTTGGCTTGGCCTAAGAACCTAATTTCTGTCTGTAAGAAGTGGCTTCAGTGCTGGGGATTGAACTTGAGTCCTTGTGCTTGCGCTGCAGGTGGCGAAACCAGTGAGCTAAATCCCCGGCCCGAAGTTTTGTTTTTATTCGTTATGTAGATGGTTAGCACGAGTATTTTAGGGTTTAGATAAGAACTTTCTGTGTTCTTATTCTATAGGTGCTACACTACTTATAATCAGACCCTCTGAAAATGTCTATATTTAAAAAAAATTAGGATAGCAAATTAAATATTATAGTAAAATATTTTCCTTATGTTTTTTGTTGTAATGGGCTTAACGGCTAACAAATTTCTCTTTATAAATTGTATTCTATATCTGACAAGGAAAAATTTAAGGGAAAGATGACCCTAGCTTGTGTTTGGTAGGAGTTTGCTGGGCTTCTAGAGCTGAGGCCAAAAATCATAACTTTTTCTTTTTCACTGATTCATATGTTGGCACTATTCTGATAACTATCCCAGCTGACATACAGAGTTGTCAAAAGAAATAGTTGTCACTTCACCTTTTTAAAAAATATTTTTATTGTATGAAAAAAATTTCAAAATCATATGAGAATAATAGTTATTGCACTGTGTATCATTATCTTCAAAGTAGCTACTTAGAATAAAAAACATAAATCAAAGATTCTAAACTGGTACCACTGATTCTAAACTGGTACTGTGGAAATCAGTGTGGAGATTCCTCAAAAAACTAAAATAGAAATTCTATTGAGCCAACTATTCCCCTTCTAGGTATCTTCCCCAAAGAGATAAAATCATCATATTAGAGGGATATATGCATACCCTTGTTTATACTACTAGCTTATCATAGTTCATTAAAAAGAAAGATTTGTGTTATTATCTGTTTCTTTTTTGGTAAGAATCTAATCTTTCCAGTAGCACCAAGTTAAGACTTTTCTGCTTATGGGTGGTTGGTACTGACAGATTTCAAATACTTATTCTTTACTCCTCTCAGTTTTTTATTTGTCTAATAAACAATCTGCATAGTTTGAAAAATGATTTCTTTCATTAGGAGTGATTGTTAAGCATAACGCTTTTATATCTTAGCAACACTGCTCAAAACAGTGAGCAAAATCGTAAATTTTCTTAAAGAAACAATGGTCTGTAAAATAAAGATCAGCATGTTTTTCAGGAAAAAAATGAAATTAATTCTAGAAAATTGTGGTTAGGGTAGTATTCATAATTGAGACTTTTTGTTTTTATTATCTTTAGTTCTGTGGAAATCAATCTTAAGGGCATAGGTGGTATAGAGCATGAATTATCAAATAAGTGAATCAAATTCACTCTAGTGCATACTTGGTTTCTTCAGGAATTTAGGCTGTGATGTGTGTCAAGTGATGTCTCATCCTTTCTACATCCAGCCCCAGTGTAGGACTGGGAAAGACAAATACAGCAGATATCAACTAGGAAGTATTAGGGGCACATGTAGCTCTTGGCTGAAATTTTGTTTATCTGTGACTGTTGAAGTACCGGCCAGGAGAACAAAGGCCCTTGTTTAAGTTAATCCATTATAGATGGGAATGAAAGGTTCTCCTAATTTCCTTCAAACTAAATTAGGTTACTCACTGTTTTTGTTGATGTTCTGCTTTCTTCCTTATCCATTTCCTGACAGGCTCATCTATGTGGCCGTGTCCCTGATGGTCACCTGCCTGGAATGCCATTTCTGTTCTCTCCCTAGCAGAACCTGGCTTATCAAGTTTTAGCCCAAGGTCTTTCTTCTCTTTGGAGCCTTCCTTGACTCTCTTTCCAACCTGGGTTTCCTTTCCCTCACCTTCCTATAAGTATGGTGCTGGTGGGATAGGACGCAGGTCATCCTGTAAATTGAAAAGGACTGGGAGTTGGGAGTCGGAAGGATCTACTTTTGCTGGTTGAGTTACAAGCTGCACGTCCATGACCGAACCACTTACCTTCTGTGAGCTCCACTCTGTCTGTGTGACCCATCTCACTGAGCAATGGTGAGGATGGAAAAAAGTGATGCCAGCCAACGGGGCTTGTTTTGTACATGTTGATGACAGTGTCTCTGCTATTTTCTTATAGTATTGTTTTTGCATATAAAGTGTATAGTTTTTGCTATATAAAAATATTTGACGTTCATCTTGAAAACATTGTGTTAAATAAAATAAGCCAGACAAAAAAGGACGACTGTTGTATGACTGCATTTTGTGTGGTACCTAGAGTAGTCAAATATGTAGAGATGGAAAGTAGCATGGTGTTTTCCAGGGGAGGGAGGTGGGTGGACCCAGGGCATGGGTGTTGTTTGTGTTTAGGTTGTTGAATAGTTTTGGAGACAGGTAGTGGTAATGAGTACAATACTGTGAATATACTTTATGCACAGAACTGTACACTGAAACATTGTTAAAATGGTAAAAAGGTAATAAATAATAAAAAGTGGGAAAATGTCTATAATAGCACTATTTATGATAGCCAAAGGAGGGAAACAACTCCATATGCATCCCCATAAGGATGAATGGATTGTGATATATACATACAATGGAACATTATTCAGCCATAAAAAGGAGTAAAGTACTGATACATGTTATAATGTAGATGAACCTCCAAGCTACTATGCTAAGTAAAAGAAATCAGGCACAAAGTTTACATGTTGTTTGATTTCATTTATATGAAATATTCAGGATAAGTAACACATAGAGAAAGCAGACTGATGGTTGCCAGGGCCTGGGGTAGAGAGCCAAGGAAGGAAATAACGGGAAGTAACTGGGCTGATGAAAATTATGTTATGAGAATGTTACCTCAGGAAAAAGAATATTTGTGATATTATTGTTCTTGGAAAGTACCTTGGCCTCTTTCTCATCACCCACACACAATAGCTCACACCTACAACTTAAAGGAGGAGAGCTTTATTTTGGGTCACGTGTTCAATCCATTGTCAACTGGCTCTAAGGCAGAAACAGCATGGTAACAGGGTGTAGGCCGAGGAAAGCTGCTCATGTCATGGTGGCCAAAAAGCAGAGAGAGCAAGGAGGAGCTGGGAAGGGAGATTCAGCCTTCCAGGCCACACCGCCAGTGACCCACCTCTAATTAGTCCCCACCTCCTAATAGCACTCAGCTGCTGATCCCCTTCCAGAAGCCCCACCTCTGAACACACAAGACTTTGGGGGACATTCCAGGTTGAAACCCTAATACCTTTGGGTAAAAAGATCTGGGTGTTTTACTGTCCATAAACTTGATATAAACTTAATTTCTTATTTTGTTATCAAAGAAGTGAATGTAATTGTATCTTTGCCTGGTCTCCTGAATTTGAGGAGATAAGGGTCCTAGTGCATATACTAAGAAGTATATCTTTTTCATAGATAGCTTGCACGTAAAAGAAATTGTACTGTGCTTTAGTTTACCTGTGAGGACCCAAACAATTTTTTTGATTTTCAGTCATACACCGATATATGGTAATCAAACTCTTTGGATAAGAATTTCTCAAAACAATACATTCTAAATAACAACTTCCATGTCTAGTAACGTCTGAGTAAGATCCGACCAAACCAGCTCTTCTCCAGAAAAAAGTCTCATGTTTATGGTCAGAAGACATATGTTATGGCTTGGATCTGAAATGTCCCCTCAAAATCTCATGTGTTTGGAAGGTGATTGGATTATGGGACACTATACTCACTAGTGGATTGGTCATCTGACGGCTTCAAAGCTGAGGGGGGGCCTGGTTGCAGGAGGCAGATCATTGGGTGCATGGTCTAGAAGGATATATCTCTCTCCCTAGTTTCTCCATTTTCACTCAGCATCCTGGGTGCCATGATTTGAGCAGCTTTTCTTTGTGCCAGACCCTTCCACCATGCCCTTTCTGTCTTAGAGCCAGCTGACCTTGGACTGAAAATGTGGTCCAAAATAAACCTCTCTTGCTTTAATTTGTGAGTGTTTGGCATTGCATCTCAGTGATGAGGAATAGTGACTATAATAACATGAATAAGGCAATGTTTCCCAAATTGCATTGATCTACAGAGTCAACAAAATCTCTTTGAAAATCCCAACTGGCTCTTTTTGCACAAATTGATAAACTGATTCTAGACTTTATATGGAAATGCAAAGGATCCAGAATAGGCAGAACAACCTCAATCAAGGACAGAATTATAGAAGATATACTTCCCAGTGTTAAAACATATACAGCTGCACAATATCAAGGCAGCACAATACTGGCAAAAAGGATCATATGGATCAGTTGAATAGAATGTGTTTTCAGAAGTAAACACTCACATTTATTATCAATTTAGTTTTGACGAGGTGCCAAGGCAATTCAAAGGAGGAAAGAATGACCTTTTCAACAAATGTGCTTAGACATTAGCCTAATGGAAAAGAATGAATTTCGACCTCTATCTCACACTAAAGACACAAATTGATCATAGACCTTAACATAAGAAACAACTCTTAGAAGAAAATGTGACTAAATTTTCCCAATTTAAAGTTAAGCCTTAGACATAACACCAAAAGCATATCAATAAAAGGAAAAAAACCTAATATATCAATCTCATCATAATTAAAAGCTTTTGTGTTCTAAATGACACTATCATGATGTGAAAATATCCCACAGCCTGGGAGATAATACTTGCAAATCGTATAAGACATTAAAATCCAAGATATATAAGGAATTTTTACAACATAGAAGACAATACACAAAAAAATGGGCAATTGGTTTGGCTAGACATATCTCTAAAGATTTATCAATGGGCAATAACATTGTTATGTTATTGAAAGGTGCTCAACATTATTATTTCTTAGAATCATGCAAATCCATAATGAGGTACTATGTATACCCACTGGAATGACTATTAAAAAGACAGGTAATAACAAATGTAAGCAAAGATGTATAGAATTTGGAACTTTCATACATGGCCAGTAAGAATATAAAATGGGACAATTATTTTGAAAAATATTTTAGCAGTTCCTCAAAATGTTAAACAGAGTTATTACATGGCCCAGGAATTTTATTTTCAGGTATATAAGGAATGAAAAAAAATTGCTAAAAAAAATTATCTACAAAAAGCGAGTTTAGGAATGTTCATAACATCATAATAGCAAAAAAGCAGAAACTTCACAAATGTCTTTCTGCTTATGAATAGGTAAACAAAGTTTATATCCATACACTTATTTACACATTTATTGCTTACACTTATTTAGACATTTATTACACTTATTTGCACATTTATTGCTAAATACCATTTAGCAATAAAAAGAAATCAAGGGCTCATACGTGCTGTGATATGGATGAATCTTGAAAATACTATGCTAACTGAAAGAAGCCAGCTACAAAAGACCACAAGCTGGGTGATGGCTTTTCAGTTCTGTAAATATTGTACATACTATTGAACAATTAATAAGGACTTTTAAAAATTAAAGGGAGGAGTAGACATTTCCACAACTGCTGGAGAGTTCAACCTTCCTTTCTAGGCAATTGATAGAAGAATTAGAAAAACATCAGTAGGCATAGAAGTATGAATCGCAGTATCAACGTCTTCGCTTGCCTAATATTCACACTATACATAATAATTAAGGATTAGGGCTGGGGATATAGCTCAGCCATTCAGTGCCTGCCTGGTAAGCATGACCCAGTAACAAGAAAAAGTAAGCATTACACATTCTTTCCGAGTGCACAGACCTAGCAAATTTGTGTCATGTTCATAGAAGTCTCAATGTATTTACATATGTATATAGAAATTATAGAATATATTTTTAATAACATGTTAAATTGAAAAATCAGTATCCAGAAGTTACCTCAGAACTCTCTAAACATTTAGAAATTAAATCATATATAAGAGAAATTAGAAAAGTTTCATCAGTAATAAAATGAAAATAAAACATGCAAAGCACGATATACAGTAAAACAGTGTTTGGAGTTATTTTGTCAAATAGAGTATCCAGTAGCCATATGTAGCTGTTTAAATTTAAATGTGAAAAGAATTCAGTTCTTTAGTCATATTCAAGTGTTCAATAGTCACATGTTACTAATGGCTACTGTACCAGGTAGGACAAAAGAAACATTTCCGTCATTGTTGAATTAAAAACATTTTTTTTGAGACAGGGTCTTGCTATGTAGTTCAGGCTGTCCTTGCACTTGTGGTGATTATCCTGTCTCAGCCTCCAGAGTGCTGGAGTTACAGGTCATACACACCTGGCCTGATGGTTCTTTTGAATAATGCTTGCTTAGAGGAAAATGTAATGCCATTTTTATAAATAGAAAAGAAAGTCTTAAAATCTACAATCTTAAATTTCTTTCTTTCTTTTTTTGTTAAATTCTTTTATTGGTACATTTTAGGTATACAATACATTTACATTTCTCATTGGGAATTTGTACCTTTACATGATGCATCTTGGTTCTTATTTTTTCCCCATTCCTAGCCCTCCCTTCACGCCCTCCACCCCTCCCTATTTACAAAGACTTTATTTCCATTTTTTCCATTTCTCAGCATTTTTCCTTTCCCTTCTTTCCTTTCCCCTGCCCCTCCCACTACCCCTACCCCTTTGGACCTTTTCTTCCTATTTTGCGTTGTCGATTATTCATTCTAATCATTGGTACATTTTAGGTATACAATATAATGTCATTCATCATAAAATCTTAAATTTCTACTGGAAGAAAAAAAGAAAAGAAGGAAGAAAGAAAATGTGAGTTAAACCTAAGGGAAATAGAATTACAAGAAAGCAGAAATTAATAATTAAAAAATGGACAAATTATAGGTCAAAATCACTGAAACAAAAGTTAATGATTATTAAAAGAAATCAATAAAATCTGTAAACCTTTAGTTAGTTGATCAAGAACAAAAGAGAGAAGACCCAAATTACAAATTTCAGGAATAAAAGAAGACAGTGCTCCAGATCCCACGGATACATGTATTAGCCCACATTATTCAAGATATTTAGAAATATTTTGTAAGGGTGTTAACAGGTTTTTATACCATTTTCTAATAAAGTGAATCAGAGACCCTTGGACAAATTGCTGATTCTAGGATGAGGCAGGAAAGATACAGGATGAGGCTGGGTAGTTGTGTAGTGTGAGAAAGTAAAGAAAAAGCAAAGCAAAAATATTTGTGGGTTGTATTTGTCTGTATTCTCTTGCTGTGACAAAATGCCTGGGAAAATTAACTTGAAGGAAAGATTGTGTGGTGTGGTGGCACATGCTGTAATCCCAGCACTCGGGAGGCAAAACAAAACAAAAAAGAAAAGAAATAAAAAGAAAGGCTTTATTTCGGCTCATGGCTTTAGAGGTTTCAGTCCATGGTCGCTTGGTCTTGTTGCTTTGGGCCTGTGGTGGTGCAGTCCACCACGACAGCAGGACCACAGGCTGGAGGAGATCTGTTCACCTCATGGCAGCTGGAAACAGAGCGAGAGCAAGGGCTTGGGGCTCCAACAACCCCTTCAAGGGCACATCCCTAGTGACCTCACTGTCTTCACTAGGTCCTACCTCCTACAGGTCCCACATCGCCTGGGACCAGCTCTCCAACACATTGTCTTTGGGGAACCTTTAAGACCCAAACCATAACACGGATATGTGTCAAAGGCACAGAAGCCAACTGGAAGCTTTCAGTGGTGAGAGGTTGAGCAATTTGAATAGCAAATTGTGTTGGATCATAGCTCAAGTATAAAGTAAGTATCTGTGGGTTTATACTGATTTAAATAAATGGCTGAGAAAAATAAATAAGGGAGAACAGACAAATCTGTGCAGAAGAATTTTAAGTAAACATGTAGATTTTCTGCCCTCAAGGATAGGGAGCCTAATTCTGTAGTCCTTGAGTATGACTACAGAGTCATACTGTGCAGAGTCATCTCTCCAGAGTACTGTATAGAAAGGAGAAAAGAGGAACTTTACAGTGCCATGACAAACAGTCCTTCAGTCTGGTGATCAAAGTCAACATCAACAGTGATGCATCATGTTGAAAATGTGCTCGATATGATGATTTAATGAAATGACATTTTACCTCTGTAGTCTTCTTCCTCAAAACCCATAACCCCAATATAACCACGAGAAGAACACCAGAAAATATGCAACAGAGGGACATCCTACAAAGTACTTGGTCAATAATTTTGAAAACTGGTAGAGTCATCAAAAATAAGGAAATCCTGAAAATGGTAACATCCATGTAAGGAGACAGGACAACTAAAAATAATGCAGTTTTCTCAGTGGGATCCTGGAGCATAAAAAGGACATTAAGGTAATCTGAACAAACGATAAACTTTGGTTAATAGTAGTGTGTTACCACTGATTCATTAATTGTAACATGTATCATGCTAATGTAAGGGATTAATAATAGAGGAAACTAGGTGTGAGGCTTGTATTAACTTTGTTCTGTCCTCTTCATTTTTCTGTTAATCTAAAATTAGCTTTAAAATCTATTAAAAAAACAAGATGAAGAAGATAAAGTTGGAAGACCTGGCCCCTTCTTAATTCCGACACTTATTATAAAGCTACAGCATCAACAAAGCTACAGGTTAAGTGTGGTATTGGCATTACCTGTTACTATTACTACCCTTACTTTTCCCTGAACTTTTGCTTCACTTGTCTTACTCCACTTAACTCAAAATGGCTCACTGACCTAAGCATAAGCACTACAAGGAACAAAACATCAAGGATGAGATGAAAGATGTAATGGTGTCAGCCTTAATGTGTGATGTCTTAGCTAAACTTGATGATGGATGAGACACTTGGTGCTTTTCATTCACTGGCAAATTGAATCCTCAGACAACTCTGAGAGACTCAAGTAAGTTGTTGGTTGCCCAAGTTTGTACAGTGAGTGTGGCAGATGCCATTGGTACCTGTGTCATAGCCTCCTGGTCCATTTCCGTAGTGGACAGTTGTGAGTAAGTCCAATATACACTGACACCATCTCTCCAGAGGTACCTCTGTACTTTTTTCTTTTCACTGTGGGTCAATCCTAAGAAACATGTGATCCTCATGGAAGTGCAACCTGGAAGTGGGGAGGAGTTTATGCTTGCAGGTATGATCCTCAGTGAAGGACCAGAGCTGGTGGATAAGTGCCCCAGCATCTTCCCCTTCAGAAAGACAATTTTAGGTGCTTTCTGTACACTCTAGAGAGCATGGTGGAAAAAAGTCCCTCTTACCTAGAGCATTAACTTTAATTGTGAACCATTAAATTGGTCATTCTTTCCTGTGCTTTTCTTTCTGCCTAGGATTACTTGTCAAATAAGTACCCATGTCCTAATTTCAGGCTGTGCCTCTCATTAAAACCACCATTAGCCCTAAAAAGCAGACATTCAGGGTGGGATTCTGAAACTGAGTTGTCACTCACTGATCAGATGGCAATTAGGGCTGGATAAGTAGAGATGGTGACAACCTTTGGCAGCCTGTACTACTACATTTACTAAGATGCCTACTGGTACTGAATTGAGGTGACACACAGGTGAAAGGGAAGACTTGGGTTGTGTGGTAGCTTTGAACTTGACCTATGTGGGGCATAGGTATTGCCATCTACTGACATGTCTTGTTAAGTTGGCTGCTTTTTATAATTTCTTTGGAAGCCTTGAAGAAAAAGAATTAACTTCAGACTCAGTGATGTCTTGAGGGTGCTGGATAATGGATAGTATAATTAAGCATTGTAAGGGAGAATTTATTGTTATGGGAGTATTCTTCAAATTAAGATTTAACATCTCAGCAAGAATACTTAGGAATGATATACTATATAGTACATGTTCTCATTAGTTTTAATATTAATGTTCTAACTCATTCATAAGAATTGGCCAAACATTAGACCAGCGTTGTGCTCTTTGAGAAGATGGGAAGTCCTTTACCAGCACAGTCAGCCATTGCACCATGGGGTTCACTTTGCACCCTATGTGAAGGGAAGGATGTAACAAGAATGAATGTGTCAGATACCATCTGCAAAGTTGTGGGCATTGTTGAGGTAATCTATACCTATTCTCAAAGTCTGAGGACAATTACTGCATGTACTTCTTCAGTGTGTGCAAGGGCTTGAAGTGTCTCCCAAACCAACAGAATTGGTCCTTAGCAAGACAGTGTAGCTGTCTTCTGGCATTATTGATTTTTGTCTGATACATTTACTTGTCAGAGTTGAAGATGAGTATTTCAGTGATGAAGTGTAAAAACATCCTATGATCCTTCAATCTTTGTAATAACAATGTTTGAATGACAGTTAATGTAATATAGGCAGGATATTTTAAATAACTTTATTCTTAAATGTAACAAGTTCTTATTAGAAATGCTTTGGTATCAATACAATAAAAATATGCTGGTTTCCCCCCTCCAATGAATCATATCAAATAACTGGAAAAGTTTTGGATTTGGTTTTCCCCAGTTTTTGGAATTTTTTTCACAGATAATGACTACTATTTATTCACATGACTTAATATTGGTATGATTATAGTTTTTTAGATTCCAAGAAAAAGAAACAAAAATATCCAGAAGAGAAATTTGCAGATGTTTCTTAGTTTTTTCTCCGAAGAATTTTTACATAGGTAACACAGCTCTCAGATCACTTTTTTCCCAAGCTTTGCCATTCTCATCCTTAGAGCTGCAAATTAAAGAAAAAAAAATAGAGAGAATTATGAAAAAGAGCCTCAATTTTTACTCTAAATGACCATTTCATAAAATGCAGGAAAGTTTAGAACATACCTCAGATGGTTTTATCCAACAATGTGAGCATTGTTTTAGTAGCACAAAAAGTAGAAATAATAAGCTATGGTTAACTTAGGGCAGAAGCAGGTTCAGAACTAGAAGGAACCTATTCTATAAAGATTAGAAAAAGTGGTAGAGCAAGCACGGTACAATTGGCATAGTTATAGGATTAGTGCATATTTTCACTTTTAGCCATAGATACACATTCCTATAGGTCAATAACTGTGTTTTGTATAGATTTCTGAGCTAAAGGAATGTACTGCCGAAAAAGAAAAGATGTTGACAAGTAAATTATATTCACGAATAGGTTATTTTTTAGCTCATTAAACTTAGTTTTCCAAAGGAGGTTTGGCCTTTGGATATACAGTGACAAAAACAAATTTCTTTATGTATGAAACAATGTCAGCTACTAATTAAGAGCTGGACTGAATGTATATTGTTTTTGTCACGATACAAGTGGCAAATATTTCCTTTTTGAGTATATTCTATTATTAATTATACATTGTATAGAGAAAGTATTTTTTAAAATGTAGATTTAGAATTTATAATACTCCTTTGGTATTTTGGTATCATGCCTTAATATTTATGACTTCAGACTGTCTTAGTCATATTTCAAAAATTTAGAGCTGCTTTCAAGGCACTGATCTAATGATAATATTAATGATGTAATATTACATTCATGTGTAATGTGGCTCAAGAACCAGCTATTTAGCTCATCTCACAAGTTTGTTTAATGAAACAATAACAGGGAAGCCATGTTTTCTCATTTCTATGCCATATGTTAGTTATTTGTTATCAGCGGAAATAACCCTCTCTCTAAGAAGCTCTTTTGTACAAATATGAGAAGGGATGGGGATCCACTATTGTAACAAGTACACGATCATTGTTATTGTCACTTTACTTATATGAGATATTTTAATTTCAATGATGTTAAAAAGCATTATTTCACTTGAAGCTTTAGGAAGAATGATCATTTCCAGGGGCAGGGTCAAAATATTTATCTGCATTCAGGACCAGCTGAGAGGATTTCCTTTGCTCTGTAGTAAGCAGGACAGTCTCTTGCTGGGAACTGTTGCATGGTGAGCCCTAAAGAGAGGTCTGTCATTCCACAGTAGGAAGTAAACAGAAGGCAGAAGGCAGAAGGCAATGCTGTAGGGAGCTTCTACTCTTGGATTTTTACAGACTTCTACCTCACTAATGGCAAAAGAGAGCTAGAGTAAGGTCCCTAATTTAAAGTTCTATTTGAAGGCAGGAGCAAAATTCTCTTTCCTATAGTTAAGCCCCATGCTTAAAGTTACTTTTTATCTCTACAATTACTCCTTATTTTGAGATCTGAAAATCAGGTACACCTTGTGCACTATGACATTTGGAGAAGTTTGTTAAGGTCTGTTTTCCTCTCTCTCCTTTCATTAAGCCTACAGCAAGTGTAAATGATAGGAGTTCCAGGTAGATGTAGAGGTCAGACTATGTTGGCAATGGAGGGCCTGTAGATGTAGTAAGTTAAAAATTTGGACCATCAGTTTTTCTTTTGACCTCTGTTCTCTGATCCCTACCTCCTCTCCCTATAGCAATTCAGATGCATGGTTTTAGCTGCCCAAACTTGGTAAGAAAGAGAGCTTTTCTGCTTACAAATATTTCTTGTTCCCTAGGGCTGATATAGATTGTAATTTCAGCACCAATAGCACATGAATCCCCCAGAGCTGAGGTTTCCCATATCTTCATTCTGAAATACCACTGACAGACTCAAGCTAGATTTTCTGGAGGACAGAATTGAGTTAGATGTAAAAGAAGTGTGTGAGAACCACCAAAGAAAACCAGGTGTCTAGCTGGTGGTCGATGAGGGTAGTAGAGGGATGCCAAAAAAAAGCTTACTGGGCCCCCACAATGGTGGAAGAGTAGCATTAACTATATCTTTGAACATGACAATGTGATATTTCAGTAACAGATGGACACAACATTGCCTATATTTTCCTATCTTTCCCTGTTCAAAATTTTGACTAAATAAATCTTGTCTTTAGAATCCCCAGGCTCCATATTTTTCTACCTTTCTTCCTCTTTCCTTCTGTTTTCCAAATTAAAAGTTGATTTTCAGATAAGAGTTCGATAGGCATATTCATTTCAAGGAAGAAGAAACTAACAATTCTTAACTATTATGCCTACCGGGACTATTCATATTTAATAGGGGACAAAAACAAAGGAATTAACTTAAATAATGAGTTTTCAAATATTATAAACACTTTTTGGTTGGGGGAATGGAGTGATAAATTCAATTTACTTTGTGCTTGTGAAAATGAAGTGCATAGGTGGTTACGTGTTCTATGTATGTGGTTGGCTCCCGGGAGCATATGACAATATGATTATATTTGAAACTCATTTAAACAAACATATTAGCTTTGTAATCCATGTGTTGAATGGGAAAACAGGGATGTAAGACAATATCACGATAGAAGGCAAGGAATTTGGAGCATTCTGTTTATAAGATATTTGGGTTGATAGTACAGAAACTTGTATTGTTACTTTGTCTGGAATAGGTTTTCCTGTTTTCATTATTTTAGCTCAATGGCATGATAAGTGTTGTCTGAAAACATTAGTCACTTCCTGTCATTTTTCTTGGGATAAATGTGTTGACATGGTTAGGGAAGAAGGAATAAGTGTATTTGGGAGGAGCTGGCTAGTATCCAAGTTTAAAAAAGGAAGGTTTTATAGTGGGTAATGTCACTGTTGTTGACCACAAACAGTATTTTTCTCTTTCCTAAGTTTTTCATGTTGTTTAAAAAATGAATTTAAAAATGCAAATTCTGATCAGCAAATAAAGCTCGTTCTCAAAATGGAAAAGAACCTAGTATCTGCAGGTTTCCATTGTGGGGCACATACATCACTCAACTCTAATTGAGAAAGCTATATAAGTGGACACTTCCCAAGAAATTAGAAATTCCTCAGATGATTACATTTACAATTAGTATGCTCAATTTAACTACTTACAAGAATAAAAGAGGGTCCATTTTATTATATTATTAGCAACTCAAGACTGAGATTGTGGTTGGCTGAGAAAGAAACATCATGAATTTTACAGATACTACCATACTTCTATAGAATTATCAGGTTCTATTTTTTAAATTGGCTGGTGATTGATATTTATTGCTCTTGAATGATAATTGTCCAAATAGTGATATTTTAAATTGCTATCCCGTACAAACACCCAGAGCCTGAGTGTCTGGGTAATTTGACTTACATCTTGAGCTAAGGTAAGCAGAGATATTCTAATTGATTTTGTCAGGTTTTTGTTTAGTTTTCATACATGATAACTAAAATGTAATATTTAAGTGATAACAAGGAGTCTAATTGAGGACCTATCACTTTGATAGAAAAAAGTGTTAAAGTTATTTTTCATTCAATGTTAAAATAGCTAGCTAGCCATAAAAATTTTTATAGAGAATGAGAAATGCAAATATATAGAAAATAGAAAAAGTAAATATTCTAAGGTGGAGAAAAATATACAAAGTTAAATGTTATAGATGATGTAAGATAAACTGACAATCTATTTTTTAAAAAATGTAGAAAAATGAAGGACATAAAGTTAATAAAACTGTAGAAGTATAGAGAAACAAGATATAGCAAAGTAATAAAATACTCTAAAAATAATATTTGTTCCTTGCATTTTCTTGAAAAATTAAGGCAATTTGTTAACTTATGTAGAAAATTGAAACCACAGCCAGGCAATGACAAGTAGTTTCCATCAGATTCTGGTGGGAAAAGATACATTATTGATGATCCAACATATCAATTACCCAAATACATTCATACACAGTACCATATCATGACAGAAGATGCATCTCAAGTTACTATGGTCAATCAATGCAATATCCAGATAAGGCAACAATTTATTTTCACTTTCTTTATTGCTTGAAGTGACTTAATTACTCTGGTGGTGATAATTCAGATCAGCATTCATAAAAACTCTCAGGGCATATTAGTTTATGAGGTGGTCAAATTAGCTGAAAGCAAGAAGGTTCCTTAACACAGCAAGGAGACTGTCACATGACTAAACAGCAGTGGCATGCCTTGGCGTTTTTATTACCTGTTAAAGATGGATCCTCAGTCCCATCCCCGGCTATCGGAACATCAATTGGAGAATGGTGGGCAGGGCCACCTAAACTTTCTTCTTGTTCTTTCAGAGATATTGAATTTTTGTGGGGAGATTTATGGTTTGAGTTTTCATGAGGATTCACTTCAGGTCTCTTTCTAGGAAGTGGTGTGGGTTTGGGTGGCTGGTAAACCTGAATACAGGGCGCTACGGGGTGATAGGACAGCTGTTCAGCTTCTCCTTCATCCTCCTCTGTCTCATCATCAATCACAACTAGCTCAGCGTGGATGATCCCATCATACCCCGTCAGAAGTTTTTTGTCTTCTTCATTGTCCTCTGCCTGCTGATACCCCATGAAAATCATGGTCACAGGTTTTGAATTATCCATGTCAGGAGGCAATGAGTGAATGATATTATATCTAACATCTTCTTCTTCCCCTTGGCAAGTGGGAGAAGAGCCCTGGTGTTCTGACTTCCCAAGTGTTGCTTTGCTGGGGCTCACTCTGGTTTTTGGAGAGGGTGCATCATATTTGTCCTGAATGGCATTTGAGTCTTCCCAAGGAGTCATCATCTTTTTTGGGGCGTGGGACATCTCATCTGCTTGTTGAGTTATTGATCGGGGATGAGGTATTGGCTGAATGGGGCTGATGTGATTGACTCTGATGCTCCTCTCCTCTGAAAGTCCATTGTCCATATTGAGTATGGAGTCATTTACATCGTCGCTCAGTCCATTAGCTTTAATCTTTATCCTTTCTTGAAAATTTGGTCCAGGGGTTGCCTTTTCTCTCTGCGGGGCTGTGGGTCTGCAAAATGGATTGGCATACACAGGCTCATGATATTCAGTTGGAGATTTAGAGTTTCTCTCTGAGGCTTGTCTTAGAAGTTCCTCCACCTCAACTGGTGCCAGGCCATCGGTGCCATTGTATGCTGCACAGTGATTAGAGCTTACTGCATACACTGACTTTTGTCCGTCATCATAAACTTTGATTCCTGTACCTTTAAAGTCATCTGATGGGAGAGGTATCGAAGACAGAACTGTACTTTCCCCAGTCTTCAAGTCTTTTTCAACTTTAATTTCCATGGCATACAGTGCTGTTAAGAGACAAATTTGATCTTTAATTTAATTAAATTTCATTTATAAACTGGCCCGCTTTTACGGTGTTTTATACCTTTTGATGTTTTTTATTCTTTTATGTGAGATCTAAAAAATTTTTTCTGATTTTATTCCATTAATTGTGTGGTACTGTAATAACACTGTAACATCATGGGTTTTTAGGTAAGAGAGTGTGATATTTTGGAAATATGTTAAGGAGAGAAGAAAAGGTGATTGGAGAAAAGAAACTGATGAATGCAGATAGCAAAACTTCACAGAAGAAACAAAAGATATACTTTTGCCTATTAATAAATCCAATGAGGCAGATTTACACTCTTGTATTACTCAGTGGGAGAATCTATCTCTTCTTGAGGTAGGAGGGATAAGGCAGAGTGGGTAAAATGCCTAGGATGGTGCATTTCATTAAGTTACATCTTTCTTGCACAGACCAGCCCCCTTTTGAAAATTTACAGGGGTGTTCTAAAGTTTAAGTGTAGAACTGGTATGAAAGGCGGAGGGAGAAGGCCAAAATCATATACTTCTCTTTTTGCCTTATGTTTCTTCCCACTTTTACATCCACTCTCAAGTAAAGGGAAAGCTAAAAATAAAGCAAAATCAGCTGTGGTGAAACAACGTAACTGGAAGTAACTGGTTGATTTGGGGAAAGCTAAGATCTGTTTTATGACCCAGATAAGATTCCTAGGGATAGAAACGATAAAGATAAATGGATTTTTTTTTTTTTTTTTGGTACTGGGGATCGAACTCGGGACTTCCCGCTTGCAAGGCAGGCGGCGGAACCACTGAGCTAAATCCCAGGCCCTAAATGGATTTTAAAGATAAAGATAAATGGATTCTGCAAAATTATAATGTGGCAATGCATTCTCTTATTGCACTCTTTAAAAATAACTCGTGTGCAGTGGTATCTTAGTTCACGAACTTAATTTGTTCTATGATTTTGGAAAAGATGGCTGTGTTTCTGTTTGTGTGGGAAAGATGGCTGCGGTTGTGTTTGTCACCCGATACAGAGTTTGCAAACAAAACCAGTATTTTGCCAAATGCTTTTTTTTGCAAACCAAATTATTTGCAAACAAAAGCGTTTGTGACCTGATGCACTACTGTATTTTATACTGCCTCTCTTGCCTGATGGAATTGACCTTCCTTGGCTATCCAATCAAAACTGCAATATCTCGTACCCACTCTCTTTGTCCCACTTATCTACTTTATTCTTCTGCATTTCAGTCCTAAACGTGATATAGTTAGTGAATGCCTAGTATGTGTCTTACTGAGTTTGGCATAGAGTAGATACTGACTACATATTTGTTGAGTGAATGAATGACCACAACCTGCACAGTAGCTTTTCATTCCAATCTAAAGTCCAAAGATTTCCTCATGTTTCCATGAGGAAAGCTTCATGTTTCCAGGAGCTTTGAAGAATGAGTAAGGGAATATTTTCATTTTTAGAAGGGTTTTAGTAACGCAAAAGAGCATCTACTGGATGAAATATATTGGAAGAGATATTTTTCATCAGGGAAGTTTCTCTGCGAAGAGCTTCTTGTATCCTTATTTTACCTGTTCTTAACTAGGTTGGTGGAGAATAAAATACATAGAATAAATACTGGAACCCCTTGTCTCTATCAATGCAAGTGACTCATATATCTTACAGAACTTTGTAAAATAGACTATTGCTTAGCCTGAAAGCATAAGATGTCATTGCTAGTTGTAAATATATGACTTCTGAAACTGAGAGCGTGCCATTGAACACAGATTTCACATATACCTTTTCTATTTTGTTCATCATCTTCCAGTCCTTCATTTCTTTCCTTCCTTAATCTGGAAGGTATGTAATATTTTGGAAGGTCAGGGATGTTAGCATAGATATCCTCAATGGACTCTGTAAAATTGACATAAATTCAAAATATGTTAAGGACATATTTTTAACAATAGGAAAAATTTCAGTGGGTTTATAAAAATCTCTTAGTTAAACATGAAATTTGGCTTCTCAGAAACATACCTCTTGATGTTTCTTCCTTTTCTTCCTTCACAGACTATAAAAAAAAGAATTCTCCATGATTAATTCAGTTTAAAAAATAAAATCCAAATGTGACAATACTTTGAAAAATTACAGAGTATTTGTGGATTAATTTGGCAGGAAATTATGGTTTAAAAATTAGTTCATACTCACTCTTATTATATCTTCTGTTGTCCTCTCAATTGATTTTAGTTTCTTTAAAATTGCCTCTTCATTGGTTGAGATTTCCAGTTCAACCTTTTCAAGATCTTGGATCTCTTTCTCAAGCCTAACAACAAAAAAGATATACTTTGTATTGCTTAACACAGTCACCACGCAGGCTTCTCAAACATATCTTCCCTGTTTATGAACTTTCCTTGGACTATTGCATGCAAGTAGCCAGGCCCCTTCTAAGAACATAGTGTCATACTTACCATCACACTTTAATTCATTTATCACTCTCAAGGTACAGAAACTATTTAACACTGAATAATTTTCAATCCGAGTCTGTTTTTGGGGGGTGGGGGGACTTAGATAAAGGATTTCCTTTGCCCTATTTTCTTCACTGCAATTATTAATGTTACTTCCAAATGAAATAGAGCAATTTGTTTTATAAAGAGACTTAAGTTTAAAGTTGAACCAAAAGAGATGATACATTTGTAGTTATGTAGTTCATCAATTTTTCTTACTCATCTCCATATAAATTATTTGGGAAAATAGCATAACTGCTAAACTTGATTTTATAATCATAGTAATTTCATATGTAAAATCCTTGCATATCCTAACATCAAAAATGAGACTGTTTTAAGTTTCCTAAGAGTTTTGCCATGTTCTAGTGAGTCACGTGAAAAGAAGGAAAATGGGAAAAATGTAGTACAACAGCCTCAATTGCTGTTGTTTATAGAGACTATATTTTCTGGGAAGAAAATGGGCATACATGTCCTGATAAAGTAGAGGGGAATTATAGAGACAAACAGATACATATGTACTTGGACTGTTGCAACATTCTGAGGTAGTGTCTTGAGGGGCATATAGCAAAATGTCAGATTGTTGTGAACTGCAGGGGGCATCATCACGACCTTTATCCTATATAAAAACAGCCACTGGCAGTCATACAGTTACTAAGGCTGGCAGTCACCAAAGACACATAGTGTCTCAGCCAAATACACTAAGCTCTAAAGTCAGCTGCCTCAGAGGATGGCTGATTACATACAGCAGCTGGTTCAAGAGATGACAGCTGTGGATATTCGTGTCAGCTAACATAATTGTCAGTTTTCTTGGCTGCGTTCTTGAAATGGACATGGGCCTGGCAGTTCCAAAATCCTGTACCATTGTCAAAACAACGAAAGCCCAAGATGTGATCTATGTGGCCTTTCTCTTACTCGTTTGCTTCAGCATTGAAGTTTTGACTTTGAGGTTGCCTTTGGCTGTTACAGTAGTCGGTGACCATTTGTAGGTGAGCAGATTTCCTTGCATGTCACACAACTCTGAGTCGAATGTAGTACCTCTTGTTTCTTAGAAGTTATTGAGGTGTGACTGCCATTCTACTAAACTTCCTCCATGTCTGCAGAGGCACATTTACTTATCAGCAGAATTGTCGGGATATATGTTGGTCCAGTCTGGTAGAGTGGAAAACTTTGTATTAAATGTGATAGATCAGGATACTATTGTCTCTGTCACTCACTACTTATGACAGTTAGTTCTTTCAGCATTACTGAAACTCAATTTTGATATTTGTTCAATGAGAATAATAGCACTTGTCCTGCTTTATATAGACATTTGGTGAAATTAAGGAGAGATAATGTATATGAAAACACATAAAATATGGTTGGTCTAAATTATGGAATAATTTTTCAAGTTTTCTGAAACACATTTTGTTTCCTTTCATCCCCTGTCTCACTTCCTAATATGCATGTTATAGGCAGTCAAAAATGGGAACTCTTTTGGTAGAAAACAAGGAGGATTCAAATCATTGCTGCAAATGGCCCTTGGACCTCAGGACCCATCTATGGAATAAGGGAGACCAAGGACTGAATTCTAGTTCATCTGCTATTTTCCCATGTGACCCTAAATCTTTAGACTTCACCAAGACTCATTATTTTCATTTATTCATTCATCCATTTAAAAATGTTTTAGTATCTACTTTTACCAGAAACTATTCTATGTGCAAGTTTATGACAAAGACTCTGTCCTCAAGGGGTTTATATATATATATATTTTTTTTTTTTGGTACTGGGGATCGAACTCGGGTCCTTGCGCTTGTGCAGCAGGCGGTGAAACCACTGAGCTAAATCCCTGGCCCCTCAAGTGGTTTATATTTTAGGAGGAGACCACACACTAATTCAGGGACTGGAAACTTTTTCTGTAAAAGGCCAGATACAAAACATTTTAGGCTTTGCAATCCACATATGATTTCAGTTGCATATGCCTTCATTTATTTTTTTCTCCCTTCTTTTTGTTTTATAATCCTTCAATAATATAAAAACCAGCTGGGTGTGGTGGTGCATGGCTGTAATCTCAGCACTCTGGAAATCTGAGGAAGGAGGATCACAAATTGGAGCCTAGCCTGGATAATTTAGTGACTTAGTGAAAACCTAAAAAAAAAAAAAAAAAAGGCTGGGCATGGAGCTCGATGTGAAGGCCCTGGGTTCAAGTCCCATCTCTGCACAAAAATTATATATGTTATAAAAATTGTATATATTATGTATGTATCATAGATAGCATACAAAAAATCATTTTTATTTGTTTTTATTTTGTGTCTGTAGAAATACAGGGCAGGGTTAGATTTGGTCCTGGGACATAGTTTGCTAACCCCTACATTAATAAAAAAACCAAAAAAGTGTGTGTTACATATACATACATATATGTGTGTGTATGCATACGCACACATCTACTTACCTATTTATGCACAATAAACAAATGTATTACACATATAATTGCATATATATTACACATGTCATTCTTTATGAGAAATATTATCCAAGGAAAAAGCAGAATAAGGGCTATGAACTTCAGGATAAGGGGTACATAACATGGTCAGGGAAGTTCTTGCTGACAAAATCTCATCTGAGAAAAGAAATGAGGGTGGGACACATGAGAGTTTCAGTGGGAGAGTGTGGCAGAGAGCGAAGAATAGTTATAAAGCTTGGAGTAAGGAGGCACATGGGAAGAAGTGACCTGCGTTGGCAGGCAACCAGATCCCGTAAGACCTTGTGCAAGGTAAGGCCTTTGGGGAGCCATTGGGAATTTGAGAAAAAAAGAAACATCCCATGACTTGAGATTCAAATAATCCCTTGGATGTTGTGATGAGAATAGACCAGAGGGGCAAATATGGAGGTTCAGATGAAAATGGTTTTATGCAGAGTTGGCAGTAGAAGGGTAAGTGATTGGATTCTGACAATATTTTGAAATACGTAAAGGAAGAGCTGCCAAGATTTCTTGATCACATGTGGGGTGACAGTAAAAGAGAGATGAAAAGAGTGATTCCAATGCTTGCGACCTGAAGAACTGGAAACATGCAAATGCAATTGACTGAACCAAAATCTGGGAGAGAAGGAGGAGGTTGGTGAGGAATGTGTTAAATTTGAGACAGTCAAGTGTGATATGGAGATGTTGGATATAAAAACCTGGATCTCAGAGGAGTCTGGGTTTAAAGATATATATTTGGACCTGGTATGTAGGTCTGTATGTATGTAGGTATGTATGTATTTATTTTTTGGTACCGGGGATCAAACTTGAGAGGCAGGTGGCAGAACCATTGAGCTAAATCCCCGGCCCTATTTATTTATTTTTAAAAAATTAACTTTATTGGTACATTTTAGGTATACAATATAATGCATTCATCATTGGAAATTTGTACCTTTACATAATCTCTCTTGGTTCTTCTTTTTTCCCCCTTCCCCTGCTCTTCCTTCAACCCCTCCAACTCTCCTTGTCCACAAAGACTTTGTTTCCATTTTTTCATTTTCTCACATTAATTCCATTCCCCAATCCCTCCCACCTCCCCTTCCCCTTTGGACCTTTTCTTCCTATTTCACAATATCTATTATACCTTTTGATCCCTACTTATACTTTCAGTTTGTGTTTTTAAATATAAAATGGAGTACTACCCAGCCATAAAGAATGAGAAATTAGAGACATTTATAGCTAAATGGATGCACATCGAGGCGATACTCCTAAGTGAAATAAATAGGACACATATGTGTAAATACCAAATAGTTTCTCTGGTGTGAGAAACTAAAAGCGGAGTTCTTATTTATAGCCAGAGGAGTTGGTAAGATTTCCTGGAAGGTAAGAGAGATAGACAAAAATTCCAAGAACTGAACCTAGGACAATTAGAGGTCTGGCCAATGATAACTACTTCTTAGGGTGTAAATGAAGAATGAAAGAAAGAGGGAACACTTGGTAATTCTTCCTATGTCTTCTCCTTTCTGAGAGTTCTAGGTCTGCCTGGTCAGTTGTATCTCAGGGAATTAATGCACTGGTATTTTAAATTGTTTCCCTCTGAAGAAAAGACCATGACTAATGTAATTTCATATCTTCAGACTACTATGGTAAGAATATGAGGCTGAAAGCTTGCTAACCTCATCAAAGGATCTGCTAATGAATGTTTTTGAAGGTTTTCAAGTTACTGGTGAAAGCTGCATTAATAGGAGGCTAATGACACTTCATGACATGTTTGTGAAAACTAAACTACAAAAATAAACATTTCCTTCCCATTCTTTATCTCTTAGCATCAGCCTACTCTGAGTTAAAAAGGATAATAAGGAAACATCTTGGTGCTGATTACTTAGAATCACAAGCCTCTGACAGGAGATGCTTACTGACATAGGACATTTCTCACAATTTTCACATAATGCAAAACTGTTTTTACATCTTGATTTGCCCCTTCTGTCTATATTATTATTTATGGCTAATATAAATATCATCAAGAGATAAATGTTAGAGATTTGCTGTTCCAAAAAAGATCGAAAGGACCAGAAAGCCAGTGTTAGTTGATGTGGGACCTAGACAATAGTGACTGACAGCGAGGGACTTGTTGCTCCAGATTCCTCCCTCACTTGATCATCACAGAAGTGACCCGGAAACAGAACATGAGGAGGTCTGATAAGCTAGCTCCACACTAGAAAATGTACCAAGCTTTTATGGGCTGACTGTTCATGAGGAGCGTGAAACAAAAATTACAACAGAAGGCGGAGGCTATCTTTATGTCTAACATAGTGGTTCTGAGCCAGGGGTAACTTTGCGTGTCTGGAGACATGTTGGATTGTCATGGCTGGGTAGGAGGGG